GTTTAGGTGCTCCCATTTTCAATGCAGGACTGTGGTGAGTCAGTCGTATTATGTAAATATCTCTTCATTTAGTGGAAGGACAGGTAGGACTGTCTTCACTGGTATGTAAGTATGGTACTAATGTGAAATTAATGGATCTAATTACTAGTTTTACTAAAACACAATCACAGTACAATTCCTGAGCTGTCCACATTCCTGGTGTAACTTTTTTGAAAGTCTGTTTTTACTCTATTTGAGATGTATCAAGTACCAAAGATCCCTTTGTCTGACATCGACATATTATGCACCTATATATATATATATATATATTTATATATATATCCATATATATATATATATATAGGAATGAAAATAAATAGATCAATTCATAATATTAAGTACTGATGTAGAAAAATACCATGTACTGTGGTTCCCAAACATTTTGCAGCGCCCCCTACTGTAGATAAAACTATTGTCAAGTCGACACCCCACGCCCCAACACATGTACAGTACATCTATTGTTTTATAACGCAACACCTTAATTTACTGTAAAAAAAAAATATAGATTTTATAGATTTTCTCCTCAAACAAAAGGAAATAACATTAAACATATAAATTAATTTCACCTCCTGCGCCTGCTGCAATATCTGTGCGCCCATGAAGAGATACTCAACCTCCATGTACTTTAATAAATACAGGGAAAAGTAAAACATAATATCACAAAAAACTACCAGAAAACATATAGAGTTTGAAGAAACAAACACAAAGTCAATCATTACTTCAACGCAGCTGTGATCCCTGTTCACTGTCATAAACCACTGTCACTCTGTCTCTCTTTAACTAGTACTATCACTGTGCTAACATTCGCCCCAGACTAACCTCACCTGCCCGCCCAGTTACACCCAGGCCCCATCTGCACATGTCAGTTTCTGTTTATGCTACATTCTTTGGCTAATTCCTGCTCCTGACTATCTGTGCTGCTGTGGGGAAACCTCCCTCCCCACACACACCAACACACAAAGTGGGTGAGCCATGTGGAGATACCACTGCTGTTGGGCCTCTTGTCAAACCCAACAAACCCGGCCAGTCAAGCTGCTGCATGGGACCCAAATTCCAGGCGAGCAGGCCGAGGACAAGTTCCAGTATGTCTGTAAATATCAGGATCTCTGTTAACACATCGCTCCGTACCACACCCTTGGTAGTCAGAAGAAAAACAATGGCTGCTTTGCTGATGAGACTGGGTCATTTTCAACAGTGTTTCTGGCCATTTGGGTTGGTCTGTGGAGTGGAGGGGGGTTAGCTTCCTTTGAATTGCTAAATTCCCCCTGCTGTGGCCATAATGACCCAGGGCATGAGGCTGGGGGAAGAAGAAAAAGGCTTTGGGCTGATGCATACAATTGACTCTGTGGCCAAAGTCACACCTTTGTGACATTAGTCTGAATAAGAGCTCATCTAATGCAGCCACGATGCAGCCCATAAAGGGGGTTAGGTAGTAAAGACACAACCAAACTATGGAGACGGTTCTGAAAGACTACTTTTAATTAGACTTCTGGCCACAGTGTACAAAAACATATATAACAAAATGTACCACAGACGATGGTAATAAGTCAAACATCCTGGTTGATGTTAGCGGTCAGCTAGTTAGATAGAGATGACTATAAAGTCTAACACTGTTACTTTGTTTTTCATGACAACCATTTGTAGACTTGACCACTGGGGCTGCTAACCCAAGGTCAAGGCAAAAACAAACTGACTATTAAATCAGTTAACAACTGTATTTGACTGTGGGTTAAACTAACAGGGTTCCACCAAAGCTGAAGTTACACATCGCTCGTCTTATGAAGGTTCAATGAAATCGTTCATTTTAACATACATTTCTGAAGCCCAGATGCCAGTAAAATACAATAAGACTCTGACTGTGATAAGCCATGATGTAAAGTTTCCTTATTACACACATTTTTCTTTTTCTTTCTAGTTATGAAAACTTATGAAAATGAACTACCCATAATCCTGTGCTTCAACAACTTCAACTATGCTGTTCTTTTGTTTCTACAGTGTAACCAGATAAAGCCTCGTTTTAGTCATTTGATTCCTATCAATAACTGTATGTACATATTAGTCAGGGGTTCCCAAAGTAGGGGGCAGCCCCCCTTGTCACACGCGGAGCAGGTTCCAGATGAACTATTCTGTTTTCATGAGAATATACATTTAGATTTATTTGAAAAAAATCTTTATGAAAAAAAGTTGTTTACATTTATATGTATGTCTAGTCTTTAAGCTATCAAATAAACTCTACTAATCATGATTATTAATTACAAAGCCCCTAAATATTTGAAGAATTATTTTTATCATCATGTCCAACCACCAGTTAGCATATCTGCGTGTTATTCCATCCAGTCCATCAGTTAGCATATCTGCGTGTTATTCCATCGACATGTAAATGCAGTCAGTGCTGCTGCCAAATCCCAACAGTGTTATTTCATTTTTGTCAAACTTCATTCTTTCCTAAAGATTCTGTACGTCGCATTAAAGTGTGTGACATCACAGGAGAACAAACGGGTCGTTGTCCGTGGTGGTCTATATTATGTGAGATGACGAGGGTCTTCTGCGTGTGCTGGTGTTTGACTGTGGAACAGTCAGAACTGTTCCTCCGTCACTGAAGGGTTATGGTTTGATGCTAAAGCTGTTGTCAAAGACTCAGTGACGGACACATTGACGACTGTCATATCTCTACAGCTCAAGTCAAAGATTAACTTCTTTTGTCAGGAGTGTTTTTCAGAAGCACGTGCAAAACTATTGGCTCAGACCTGTAAGTCAAAGATTAACTTCTTTTGTCAGGATTGTTTTTCAGAAGCACGTGCCTCTTGTGCAAAACTATTGGCTCAGACCTGTGTAAATGTGTGAGACGTTCCTTTAACCTGAAGGACGTCAGATGTGAATGCTCAGTAAAATATGTGGCTACACCGTCAAAGAGAACTTCATAGAGACGCTGGTTATTTGTTGTGGGTGTGAGAGTTGAAGGAAATACAGACGCGTATGAAGAGACTACACTTCCTATCACAGTGCAAACTAAGGCTGCTGTGTCAGCAAACACAGGCAGGCCCCCAGAGGCAGAGGCACCAGCAACCAGTGGAATGTACCATATTCTAAATGTACAGCATGAGCAGTTTCACAGTGGTATCAGAGGCTAAACCTAGGGTTTTATGACCTCCTTGAACCTGCAGGAAAATGTCGATCCACAGCTTTAACACGTTAGATGTTTCCTCTGCTCCGTTGTTACTTGTGTATTCAAAACAACAACAAAGGTTTTATACTTTGTTGTTATACTGAAATTTCAAAATTTGAATCTTCCGACCTATGGTCTCCCAGCATATTAGACACATGACACGTCATTTTCGTTCTACTACTGATGAGCATAGAGCTTAAACAGCAGAAATTACAAGTGCCATTCTTTCTAACAGCCTATCAGCGTCCACTTAAATGTGCCGATCAAAGCAAACCACACATTGAAGTAAAAGAAAAAACAGCCTCCTTTCAGCCTCCATGTTCATGTCACAGTCCACAAAATACCAGGACATGGGCTAGATGCAGACCTCAAGCCACCATTTAACACTGCTGAGCGTTCGATAACGACTGTGTTTGAACTTTAAGTGAGCCAATGACCCAACAGCTGCTGATGCCACTTGTCCCTGAGAAGATGTCCACTGTTGTAAACCACCATTACATCGGATTATGTAAGAGCTGTCAATATGGCAGCAAGAAGTAGAAGAAGAGACGTGTCTATTATCAGTGTGAAAACACACTCCACATTGTGGTTTCTTATCAAGCATCTTTATCAGCACATGGTCCAGCCCACAACCATGACCTACCACGTGGGTCAAGAGTGACCACTTTATCAAATAAACTCCTCTTATGGCTGATTATACAAGACAGCAGTGTCAGTCTCAGTCTACTCAGTGACATGTACCAGTACATAGGTAGCCCATTTTCCCTGGCCTATTATAAAGCAGGTGGCGGCCTATTTGTTAGTTAACTTACAGCATCTAATCCTCTTGAGGGACCTTAAGGTTCAAGGTCTGGAAGGTTAACTTGAGATTTGGAGACCCTAACCCTTAACACCTTCAGTAAGTCTAAAGAGGAAAATAAGACAAAAACAACAGAAGGCCTGTGAGAACCAATCCTCTCACAGCAACAAGAATATCAAATAATCTCTCTAAAATAGGAGACACACTGTGAAGATGTTCGCTTCTCCCAGGTTCCCGCTACCTGCTCCCCCAAACACATCACAGTCTTAACAAAACAGAACAGTTGTCAGCCGGTGACCTCCGACCTCCAGCCCTGTCCTACAGTTTTACAAACAGGTTAGACCGGTCGTAATGACAGGTGCAGCAGTGGGAGCAGCTGTCAATGAGAGGTGATCAGCAAAAAAGCTGTCCAAATACAGCAGGAGTGGAAACGTCCACTTGGGGACATCCGTCAAACAGGAACCAGTTCCCAGGGGAGTAAACAGGAAACTGTTGATTCAAGGCACAGGGGTCCACGCTTGTTTAGCTCAGGAGCTGCTCTTCAAATGTCCAGGATAAAGTGATCAACTTTAACGTATATGTTGGAGGACTGGTTAAATGCCTGCGTGCATACTGTATTGCAGAGTATGATTTTAGTATTGCAGTATAAATTTGTATTTTAATTGATCAACTGATCATGAACCAGGAGCATTACTAGCGGTGTACTGTATCTTTTCGGGCAGCACGCACAACTTTTATTTTGCTACCGCATGCTGCGGTTGGGTTCCTGTCATTTAGTTATGAAAAATAATAATTTAGCAATCGTAAGTGCATTTTCACATGTCACATCACGATGAACCTCATCCCTAATTCTAGGCATTAGCCATGTTGCAACAAGTGAGTTTTACATGAAGCACCTTGATGTGAATGAATGGGAGGCACGGCTTAGTGGACCTGCACTCGACAATGCAGCCTAAGGTGGACTAGTTAAGGACAGATCTGAAAAATAATAAAACAGTGTTTTTTCTGAGTTCAGGGGTCCGACCTCTTATCTACAAACCTATGTGTCCTTGAACAAAACAACTGACTCAACACTGCTTCTGATAGCTGAAAGGCAGCATGGGAATAATAATGACCTAAGAATGGCCAATAACCTGTGGGCTTCAAAAGACTGAATGTAGAGTAAACAAACTCTAAATGGTTGTCAGATCATGTAAGGTACAAACAACAAGAGCACATCAGTTTTAGCATTATGATCCAATAGCTGCCTGTTTAGAGTTCCGGTATCAAATCATACGTGCCTCCCATTTTCCACCAAATAGGATCGTGAGTTACAAAACTGACACACCACATACTGTAGAAGAATTAATAAATTCACTAGATACATTCTCCAAAAGATACCATTTCTGCTTTCTAATAGTATCTTTCTGAAACCAGCTAAGCATTGTGGTTCACAATAATCACAATAATAATGAGGAAGTATACATTATATGTACAGGATATACAGTACACACACTACATGTATATAATGTGAAGATTGTAAAACAAATGATTACTCTCATATGTCCAACAACACTGACATCAACAGACCCCAACACTGTCTGATTGTTGAGGTTTGGGGAAAAAAATGGCCCCCCCCCGCCCCTCCCCCCCCCCCCCCCCCCCATAGTCCCCAAACTACTCTCCCCTGTACTAACACACAGTTAATAACCGTGTCTACAACTACATGGTACCGAACTACCTCACAAGGCAGGAAACTACAGCCAAACACACAGTGTTACTACAGCCGGACTTAGGCTGAAAACATGTAGAAACATTTACATACATGGAAAATGAAGCCACCCACTGTCTGGAGAACAGAACTCAGTGTTCTGACGAACAGAGAGAACGCTCTACTGCGGTTATAATGAAATACAGTGTGTATCTGCAGAACATGTAAAGTGTAAAGTGTGTGTGTGTGTGTGTGTGTGTGTTTACCGGCAGTCTCCCTGACGATGATCTGATGGCTTTCGCCTCCGGTCCGTGGGGGGTTGAGTACAGGCTGCTGTTGGTTCTTTGTTCGGCCACGGCCGTGTTACAGATCTGGGTGAAATAACCCAGCGGTACCGTGTGGACCGGTGGACTGGACAGTCCGGTGCCAAAAAACTCGGCTTTGACTCCAGCGCTGGACAGAACCTTGAACTGTTTCTGCTGGGAACAGTGGTTCAGAGTCACTGCAGAGCGACCCACCACCGCCGGAGCTGCAGAGACGCCTTTAGGCGTTCGAATCATTTTTTAAAATATATATCGACTAACAGTGAACGTGATCGGCCGAATACGAGCCGATTAATGCTCCTCTAACTCCCGTCCTTCTGTGAGATCTGCCAACAGCAGCTGCTGCAGGATTTCTGTGTAAATCAAACTTCTAATCTCAGAACAAAAGAGGCGACATGAAGTCGAATCTGATGGAAAAATGCAGGATTAAAAATGAAAATCCAGATTAGATTCGTAGAAGACACAGGAGACTGGAGGGCGATCTCGTTCTTTGTCCGACTCGGAGAAGCCTTTTCATAAATTACTTATGAGATGATGCTAAATAAATAAATAAATAAACAATACGTCCAGAATATCGAAGTTCAGACCGGATCTGACTGAGTTCTGTTTCCAGGTTATAATCTGGTCTAATCCGAGGGAGAGCAGAATTCGACCCTGTTCTGTGTTGGAGATTCCAGTCCGTCCCAGCTCCGAGCTCTGCTCTCCATACACAGTAAACAGAGGAGGTGGAGAAAAAGAAGAAGGAGCAGAGAGGAGGCTCTTTTTTACCGCCAAACTTGGTCCCGCGAAATTTGGATCTCCCGCGGTTCGAGGGCGCCTCTGATTGGCTGGCGGCACGCTCGACTTGTCACATTTGCATAAAACAGTTGTTCAGGGACGATGCTGGTCTTCTTAAAGGGACCACAGCTCGGTGCACAATGTTCCTTTCTCTTCAGGCTGGACATGGAGACAAAAAGCACTTCTGCACATGTACTCTGAACATCTTTAAAATCAGACTAAACATTGTTTAAAAGTCAATTAAACTGCTAAACCTGACTGAAAATAAAAAGAATATGGAGACGAAAGTAACTTCTATAAAAGTTCAGTCATGTCCTAGATTAATAATTTATTTATGGTGATTTTGACCCAAAAGAAAGTTATTTGATTTGGAAAAGCAAAAACATGTCATATTCACAGACACTGTAAACAGTAGTACTTGTTTTGTTTAGCACCATTAGCTGACTATAAAATAAAGTTAAAATGTTAAGATGCAACATTTAATTTTTTCATTCATGTTTCTGTCTTCTTTATTCTTTGTTATTATGTATCATGTGTTGTCATTGGTTCATGAAACACCAACAACAGTGTTGTTGCTCACACTTCCTGTTTTTGTTTGAAAACCAAAAGTACAGAGAACCAAAACTATTTACATGAAGAAAATGAAACAAAAAAGCTAAAATAAAATTATTCATATATAGCTCATTAAAACTCACTCAACCTAATTAGTTTCTTTATACAGCCAATGTAGTCTATCAGTGACATTGTCATTAATATTGGCAGAATTTACACTAGATTAAGTCTATAAAACCAAAGTCTGTGGAAATGTTTAAGTTAAAGAGTAGGAAATTACTCAAAATGATCAGGTTGAAAATGTTTCACAGTCACGTGAGTCTTAAACAAGTTTTACTGTTAAACTTCATATAAATCAGAGGTCATCACTAGCCTTAAAGAAGCAATAAAGAAACAAACAAGCAAATAAATAAAATGAAATATTTAAATTTTAAGAAAAAAAAAACCTTACCTAACCACCTCCTAGTTGACTATTGAAGGAGTTGATACATTAATATATTGCATAATTAATCAATAATTATTTGTTGTTGCTCTGTTTAGCCAACCCTAATTTAGAATTAAGTTTAATATAAGTTTAACAGTAACCATGTTTATACAGCAGTGTTTCTGTGTTACATCTAAACTGTACTGGTTGGTAACTGATGAGGTCATTAACTATTATTACACCTGGTGGACTCTTCAGGCTACTGCAGAGAAACAACAAAGTTCAGGGTTTTTTTTTTTAACAGGATTATGTTTTTATGGTGACACACAGTAAAACACAACATAGTAAAACTCCTTCTGTGTTCCACTGACTTCAGCTAGTGGTTGTTAGTCTATGGAGTGTACAGTGCTGCCTCCTGCTGCAGGGTGTGGCTGTGGGCCGGTTAGTTCATGATAATTGGATTCACTCAGCAGCACTCTTGCTTATTGGCTCTGGGCAGATATTGAAAGAAAACAACCCCTCCCCCCAGGGCCCACGTCTCACCAGAGCCCAGCCATATGACGTGACCCCCAGTCGGCCGTGGAGAAGAAGACTGGCAGCCACAGCAGGCCTATTGTCATGCTTATATCGCAGCTCTGTTTCAAATGGCTGTCAATTAAAAGTTCCAGTTGGGTTTGAAGTCAACTACAGTGTTTGAAGATAACGTCAACAGTTCATACGGAGTGAGGGACCGCCATCAGCTTCTTAACACACTGAGATTAGACCATTAAAAACGCTGACACAGACAGCACTGCCTAATGCTCATCAACTCATCTCCACCCTCTGCTGCTTCCTCTTCTGGACACTTACTACAGGAAGCAGTTACTACTCTTACACAATTATACAGTATACTGAGTACAAAATTACTTCACTATTTTACTCTGTCAATTTCCACACCACCAGTGTGACACCATCACCACCACCTTTATCCACCCAACTGTCCGTAATAAACTGTACTGAAATACACACGAATAGATGTTATTTTCTAGTCCTGTACTCGTTTTTGTATAGGTTGTAATTATCCAGTAAATGATAAAAATGTAAAATTACCATGATGGATTACTTTAATAGTAATAAATATATAATAAAAATATTCAATTTATTTTCTGAGCATTGTGCTCACGCAGTCAAGAGGAAATTAATGATATTTTAACCAATCCATTTCCTTTTTCTTTTTTCAATGACAATGTAAATTCAGGTTAAGTAAAGGTGAAATAACAATAAAAAAAATAGAGAATGGGTGGAGGGACAAAGATTTCGACAATAAATTCTGAAAAAACAAAATTGAACACAGGATATGAGAAATATATCTGATCCTTCAATTTTTCCATAAACTTCCACTGAATCCTGGTCTAAAGTTAAAAGAGAACAAGCAGATGGAGCCTGGAATTGATTAAAATCAAATTTGTTTGGGATCACCTTGAATGGGAGTGGGTCGTTGTACAACCCCCATCTAAAGAACAGGCTTTAGGTCATTCTTAAAGATCCGAGCAAAAGTATTTCTCAGACTCCTCTCAAAAAAGGGGGCTACATAGACGTAAAAGGATAAAGTTCTAAAGTTCCGCAAAACAAAATCATACATACAGTATATATGTATATACTGTATATATATATGGTCAAACAAAACAGCAAATATCTTCTTACACAAATACTTCAAAGGTAAGTATAGTATAGTATCCTCACACAGAAAGGCCGACAAAAATGCAGTCTGACATCAGGTACATGTTTATACTACAGTAATGACAGTCTTTGGTTTGACATAAGTCAAGACATGTACATTGTGTCCCTGCTCTGGTTCAAAGAGACTGGGTAATTCCGTATATATTTATATAATAATTTGTTTTATTTATTTATTTATTGTTTACGATAGTCACTGCCTTGTAAAAAATAATGTTTGTTGGTGATTAAAATAATATAAAATAAAATAAATCATTCCAAAAAGAAAAAAACTGAACTTTAAAATGATAGATAGATCAATCGAAAGATCGATAGATAGATAGATAAAACTGTACTTTACTGTCTGAAAGAATATGGTTCAAAATGTGGTACTTTTTGTGGTTTAAAGTATAGTAACTTTCATAAATTTAGCTTAAAATTCCAAGATGTTTTAAGCCTGAAACTGAAATATTATGCTTAAAACATTTAAAAAAAGGTATCAGCCTCAACGTGTACAATTTGGAGGCCAACATGCA